GTTCTGGGTTATGGTGGAACTGAAGAAAAAGAAGAAGCCGGTATTCAACTGATGTGCTTCGTGTCCCAGTGTTGGATAACTGTCTTAGATGCCTGAAGTACTTGGCAGAGAGCCACTCTCCTTCTCGGTGTTCCATCTGGTGGACTTTCATGCCCAGAGTTCACAAGGAGAGGCAAAGATTGCAGGTGCTTAACCTTAAGGAGGCTCTTGAAGCTAAACCTTCTAATTTTTGGCATTTGTTGGATCCAAGATCTAAGAAGGCCAGTCTCTCTGCTCCTGTGACTTTCTCCAGCAAGTCAAAGCAGCTTAAAAGATTCCAGGAAATTGGAACCTTCATTGGGTCTGGCTTGGGATCCTGTTGCTCGAGTGGTCAGGACTTTGAAGGCACCAATGATGGGGAAAGTCAGGCTGCCTGCTGCAGAACCAAGAGTCATATTGTTGACTCCAGCTGTGTCAATTTCAGAGTAGAAGCAAGGGAGGAATCGGACATTGTTAGCAGTGCCAGCTCCCGCAAGTGAGATTTATTGGATCTGTCCAGTCCTGATAGGGTCTCTACTTTTCCAGGTTCTGATTTGAGGACTAAAGACTAAATTTGAATATTTCATTAGGTCATCATGCACTATCAAGATCTGTGGCTTCAACCTCAGGTCCCGGGTCCATCTTCAGATCCACAAAAGATTTTTACTGGCTTCCAAGCATTCCTTGAATTGAAAGTTAGAAGGTCTTGGGGAAGAGACAGGGCTTCTTCTGTTCAGAGGTTGACAGCATCTTCACCTAAGAGGAAAACAGGGGATTATGAGTCTTTCTTTTGATCCTTTTTTACCACCTCCTCCTCTTAAGACACCTACAAGGTCTCCAGAAATAATTTTTTTCTCTTGTTCATTTCTCTCCACACCTGGGGTCTGTTCCTTCTCCAGTGTGCTCTGTCATGGATCTGAGGTTTAGAGGAGGATAGAATAGAGAGATTTGTTTCCTCCTGGTTCATGCTTCCTTTGCTCTTTCTCCTATGGTATGTTCCCAATTCCCAGTTTTTGGGGTGACTAGTAGTCCTGGGCTCCATGATCTTATTGGGTGCCACCACAGGCATTTTTCATTTGTCCTCCTTATGAACTGGAAAGGTGATGTTTCATCTTTAAAGGATTCAGCAGTGGAGAAATCCTCGTATTGGTTCCACTGGTGCCATTTGCATCCCAGACAGTGATGAAGAAGATGAGGCAATGGCTCCTCTTTTTTGAACAAGAGCATACTGACACAGATTATGATCCTGATTTGTCATCAGATGAGCATGTGAGAGTGGCTTCTGCCTCTTCCTCTCTGGGGATGCTCTGCAATTCCATGACCTGATGGATTGCCTGGCATCCATGTTGAATATACCTTCAGTAACTGGAGGAAACCCATCCAGCGTTTGACATTCTTGGGGCTACCTCCTAGAGTAGGATGTCATTACCGATTCTCGATGGTCTGCTGTACTCTGCTAAGACTGTTTGGTCCACTCCTGCTTCTTGCCAGCCTATTTTCAATAAGGCTGATAAATATCAGATACCTTTGGAGGGGTTTTTATATTTTAACATACACCTTGTTCATATTTTGCTCGTGGTGCTTGCTGCCAGTCGCAGGTTGAGATATGGTTCCACTTCTGCTGATAGAGAAAGGAAAGAGAGAGGTGTTTTCCTCTTCCTCTCTTGTTATTAGGGTAGCAAATTATCAAGCAGTTATGGCCTGCTATCAGTTCCACTTGTAGGAAAAGATGGCATTGTTTGTGCAGGATTTAACACATGACAAAAGGAGATTGTGAAATGCTATGCTAATGGAGGGTTAAAATGTGGCAAAGGATGCCCTCAGAGATTTATTTTGTCTTGGACTCTTCCACCAGAGGATTTGCTTCTTTAGTTACTCTGAGGAGACATATGCTTGGCTGCACTTCTCTTCTCTGGATACTAGAATTAAGGTTGAAGATTTCCCTTTTGAATGGGAGGTCTTTTCAGTGAAAAGATGGATGAGTTGCTAGAAAACCTGAAGGAGACAAGATCAACAGCTCACTCTTTGGGCTTGATTTCTTCTACTAGGAGGATATCTCCTCCTCGTTTTCGTTATCAGAAACAATATTAGCCACAATCTTCCTCAACTTACTTCTCATTAAGTCAAAGACGTTAGCAACAACACCAGCAAGGTAGGTATTTGTAGAGCGAATACGAGAAGTAGTCTTTTTAAATCGAGGCCTAAATCTAAACCAGCTGCTTCCTCCCTCTCGTTTTCATTGAACAGTAGGTATCGGATTTGATGTGAGGATTGAGAGTCGAGAACTAGTCAGCAAGGACCCTTCCCTTCCTTTGTTTGGAGACAGACTAGTCCATGGTATCCACAAATGGAGGCTTATTACGGATCCTAGAAATATATAGAAAAGAGCTATGCCATTCAGTTTGAGAAACTGCCCCTTTCAATTCCTCCTACCTGTCTGTTTTCAGGAAACCTTCTCATTAGACTATTCCACTTTGAGAAGTGCTTCTGATAGGGGCTGTCAAAGAGCTATCACATCAACATCTGAGGGTTTAGGCTTTTTATTCAAGATATTGGGGGTGGATGGGTTCATCATCTGATTTTAGATTTAATACATTTGAACGTTTCAGTTCTTTATATTCATTCTGGGCTCCATAAACCCTTCATTTTCAACTATGGGTTGGTTTGTGACACTTGATTTAAAAGGACACATATTTTCATGTTTTCATCAGATGCAGTCATCAGAAGTACCTTTTGTTTTGTGGTGGCGGGATGCCATTTCCAATACAAGATGTCGCCATTTGGCTTGTCCATGGCATCAAGAGTATTTGCAAAGTGCCTCTTTGTGGTAGCAGCTCATTTGAGAAAGCAGAGCATTTTTGTTTATCCATATTTGGACGATTGGCTATTGAAAGCTGCTGTTCATGATAATCTGTTAAACCACATTGCCTATACAACCACCTTTTTTCAGACACGGGGCTACTTTTGAATGTCAAAAAGTCGACTCTCCATCCAGCTTTCAAGGAAGCAGTCCCTGCTCCAAAGCATGGGGACATCACAGCGTCTCAAAGAAAAGGTCACTAGAAGCTTTAAAGATGGGCAAAACGTAATTTTCACTCACCTCTTTTCTCAGAAACTGCTGCATTGTTTTTGGCAATTACAATAAAATTTACTTAATTTTCTTAGAAAGTCAGATTATATTGAATGAAGTCTAGATTAGTGCAGCTGTAAAATAACTGCCTTAATTAGAAATGTAACTGTAATTTAGATAATGCAGATTCTCTAAGTTTTCCTAATGAAATATTGAAACGAACTCTGAGGTGACAGTGGGGTAGTGGTAAAAAAGGAAAGCTGAAGACTGCTTAAAGTCCAATGGAATCCGACAGTAAAAGCCTGACAGAGAAAGTGACATACTGAACCTAGTTTTGAATGACAAAAGGGAAATGGAGAGATGAGGTGGATGAGGTAATATCTTTTATTGGACCAACTTCTGATGGTGGGAGAGGCAAACTTTGGAGCTATGCAGAGCACTTCAGGTCTGGGAAAGGTACTAAGAGTGTCACAGCTATATAAAAGCTCAAACAGATGGTTTTGCATAAGTAGTTAGCACATATTCTAAGGGACCATTCAGGGTGAAGTGTCATTTCACAGGAAATATTTTGATACAGGGCATGGGGAAATGCACATTCCAAAAGTACTGTGACAGCAGCCACAGTTTGAAAAAAAAATCTTATTTCTGAGAGCAGAATTTTGAGTTCTTGTTTGGACTTACTGATATTTCCCATGAAATTGCAGTTAGTAACAGATGGAGAAGCACTTCATTTTGTGATTACCATGGCGCACTCTCTCTTTTATTAACACAGGTGGTTTTTTTTAAAAGGAAACATTTGTTTCAGGGGAATGCTGTTTGTTCAAAGAGGAATGGTCATTAAATCCCATTGTTTCCGACTGAATAAATGTTACATAAATGTGTTAGCTGATGTTACTTTGTATTTTTCAAGCAAACGATATGCCAGCCTTCAATATTTGTAGCCATATATTTTGTTTTTCCTTTCGGTTTATTCTCATGAACCGAAGATGTCTAAAGCACTTCATTAAACAAGTTGGGTTTGGTTTACATGCACTTTGTTAGTCAATACATATATGTTAGGCATAGTGCACACCGCCTTAATATTGTGTTTTTTCCAACACGTGGGCAGTTATATTAACTGAATTATGTCTTTCCCACAATCCTGTCGCCATCCATTCACTAATGTCAAGATATATAGCCACAGTACCTGCAAAGCTGAAGTCAGCTTTGGCACTGGAAAATATGAAACATGTCAAAGATAAGATACGTTTGTTCTCTGTCCTAGTACAAGTTGCAAGGTACTTTCGCAGGAACCTGGTTTGAGATGAAGTATCCAAAACTGAGAAAGAAGTCATGGTGCCAGGAAATACAAGATAAAAAACTAGTTGGTGCTTAGTCTTAGGTGATGTACAGAGTGCTTTTACTTAGTAAACAACCATGATATAAATATTAGGTAGGGTTGGAAGGGGGGAGTATATTGTGAGCACCTCTTCTGTGTAAGGTGAATTTCATGCTGTGAGAAACAAGCTTCCCTGAAGGATTCTGTGAAGTAATAATTCTTTTCTTTCTGCGTTGAACTGCATTGTCTTCAGTTGATAAACTTGGCTATGCTTCACTGTTTGGTCTCTCAAACATTTTTAATATTAAACGACAAGTGTAGTTAAGCAATTGGCTATATTATAGACAGTAACTTTTCAATTTACCTATGCATTGATACTAAACATGAAATGAATAAAAATAAAATATTTACAAAAGCCACCACTGGCTAATCATACATTAATCTACAACAGGGGTCGGCAGCCTATGGCACGCATGCTGATTTTTAATGGCATGTTGCTGCCTGCTGGGTCCCGGCCGCAGGCCCCACTCAGCCTGCTGCCAGCCTAGGTGAACGGAACCCCAGGCTGGCAGCGGGCTGAGCAGGCCAGCAGCATACGACCAGCATTTTAATTTAATTTTAAATGAAGCTTCTTAAACCTTTTGAAAACCTTGTTTACTTTACATATGACAATAGTTTAGTTATATAATATATAGACTTATAGAGAGAGACCTTCTAAAAAACATTAAAATGTATTACTGGCAGGCAAAACCTTAAATTAAAGTGAATAAATGAAGACTCGGCACACCACTTCTGAAAGGTTGCTGACCCCTGATCTACAAAGATTGTGTTTCAGACCTGTAGTGTATTGATTGATTGAGTCCGAATATAGCTTTAATTGAAAGAACCAGCTATTGGCGTGCCAGCCACAATAGTGTTATACATAGCAACTATCCTAGAATGATTTTGTCTAAGTGGTTGAGAATGTGAACTTTTGTTCCTTTTAATGCCCCAGGATATACTTCGTCCCTTAGGACATTCAGCTAGACAGTTAGGTGGAGGTACAATGTGTCTTTACAGCAGATATGCAAGGATGCAATTTAGTCTACAACTGTCATCCTTACTAGGTATTACAGAGTAAGCTGCTCTGCCTGTACTGAGGCAGAACTTCTCTCTAGTATAATCTTTTATAGGTTTGGAGATGGGATTTTCACAGATCTCTTACTAAGTTGTGGTGTAGGCTTGTTTACTCTGAAAACGCTTTCTGATCTTTAAATGGTATTTCTCCAACTAAACAAACTCTGTTCTTATAGTGTTCAAAATGATAGATTTGAGATATTCACATGATTCTGAATATTTTATATTGTAAAATGTTACCATTTTAAAAAGTCATCAGCTCACAACTTCAGGATGGTGCAGTTTTGTGACTATTAACATTTGAGACTGATTAACTTAAGAATTGGATTTTGAATCATTTTGTTGAGCAAACTAGTAAATAGTGCTATAGGTGGGACTGTTCTTTGTTAATACTTGGCAAAGTCAACTTGAGTCTATGAAACCAAGAAACTCTTTACTCTATGCTGGGTTTCTTGTGTACCTAATCAGTACCTGGAAAGTATGAGTGAAGTAGTAAAAGTCCCTTCCATCCATTTATATCTGAGCCACAAGAGTGTCAACCCAAATTTGCCTTAGAAATACCACTCTTTTCTTGCTTTTGAAGTTGATCTACATCTTTCCTCATCTAGGCAAGCACAAATGTCCCCAGACTGCATTTATACGAAGTTTAGAAATAAATTAATATAGTAATTAACATTAATTTCTTTAACTGCATCATATTTTCTGAATTTACTATGTAGTGTCAACATGTTATAAATTCTGTTCAAGTCATGAACTAATAAAAATGAAAAAAAATTTGAATTTTAATGCCTTCTTGGAAGCTGAGATTAATTGCAATTATTTCAAAATGCCAGTTGGGTTACAATTTGCAAAAGGTTGAGAAAATGTGTATTTCATATATTCTAGTAAAATATTTTTTAAAGTTTTTACCTATTTTGCTGATTATCTTCGAGTTTTCAAGTGATCAAGAATGATTTTCCTATTCAGTAGCATGCATACCATAGATAGCATGGCCTGCATGCCACATGTGTTCAATACAAAGACAAATAGAAAAGACATGAGCACTGTGGAATTTACTCATGCATTTATAAGAGTGTTTGTGTTATAAGAATTGTATTTTGTTTTTATTGTGCTAAGAAAACATTTCTCCTAATCACTTTGATGGGAAGCAGAATACACATGTCCTGTAAGAAACAGGCTACATTATTAGCAACTATTTTATGTTGAATTCACAACTTCATGTGGAAATAACTTTATCGTTTATTTGCAACAAAATATATTTCTGCTGGCAAAACTAGAGTTTCTCTCCAATTTTCTGTCTACCATTTTAGGGTGCAAACTCATTGTGTATGTAAATGTTAAAACAATGTAAGATCAAATATACATTGAAAGTAATCTTATAATCAGTTTTTAAAAAACTATTAAATAACTGAAAATGAATTCATTTTCACATTAAAATAAGACAAATAGTTTCACATTTTTACATTTAAAGGTTGAACTGATCTGGAGAAACTTGTACTGTAATCTAAGAACTATTTTAATCATTTTAATGGCTGCAATTAATGTAAAATGTATAGGGCTTTAATGAAGATCAATATTTATTGCAAATGTTTAACCATCTTGTGTGTTTTGTGAATTATTAGAAGCTGTATATTTAATACATATTGTATCACAGTGAGAAAGTTTAAAAAAACAAACAAACCCAAAACACTTGTAGCACTTTGGAGAGCTAAATTGTGCAAAATAAGAGTTTAAATGTAACTTTTTTTTTTCCTGGAGCTCAAGCACTGAAAAGTTTTATATTTGATCACTTGAGATGGTGAGGTATGGGGGAGGGGTTTTTTCAGTCAATGGGTCTGATCATCATCTGAACTGCTTTCAGGGAATATGAACCTCCTCTGTACTCAGCCCAAAAAATCCCATCCTGATATTTGCTTCTGTAATGGCCTCCTCTGTACCACACTCCATTAAGGTTAGAATGTGCGCAAGCATTGTACCACCAGCCTCCTTTGTGAAAATGGGCACAATTTCCTGTTGGGAGAGAATAAAATAAGTGAAACCTCAGCACTTCAGAGGGGAAATAATAGACCATGGATCCTCAAACTTTTTGAATCTATGTCCTACATATTAACATAGTGCTTGTCTTGCAAGCCACTTTGCCTCCCGTTTGTGATGAGATGAATCACTTCTCCTTCCACTTACAGTTCTCTAAACTCCGTTGCAACTACAAACTGCAGTTCACAGAAGATTGCTGGTAATCTGAGGAGAGCTGGCTGGTCACATGGTGCTGGCTCTGCTCTTTGATTTCAGCTGCTTAATTATAATGAAAGAAACTAAAAAACATATTAAATACTTTATTACTTTCCTATGTAAGCAATCGTTAAGAATATCTGCTGTAAACTGTTCTGAAGTACTTTTGCGGGAGCAACATGACTTGTGCCTTAAGTTTCAATTTCAGTGATTTGTGGTGAAGTTTACCTTATGAAGGGAGATGGTGGTCAGTCTTCTCCGAAGTTTTAAAAGTAACAATGATAACAGCAATTTTTTAAGTTATCATTATTTTTAAGATCCTACCTACGTTGAGGGCCAAAACTGGACAATGATTGGTGCCATAACACGGTATGTTTTTCTGTGGGTCATTTTCAGTTTTTAAGCAACCAACAATTTTATATTAGAGCTTTTTATCATTAAAGGGGCATCATCAAAAAGAATAATATTTTGTCAGAAAATGTTGTACTTACTATAGATACAAGTAACATGCAAGGCCCTGATCCTACAAAGACTTATTCATCTACTTAATTTTATTCACCTGTATATAGTCCCATCAATGGGACTACTAAGTAATTCAAGCTAAGCACATGTACAGATCTCTGCAGATAAATTTTTCTTATAGACAATGACTCAGTTAATCCATCTTGATAAGAATCTTTAAATTATTCTGGAGCATGAAGTGTTTGATCTGAGTTTCTGTCTTCTGTATTATTTCTCGAAACAGTTATATATGCAAAAGGTGGCACTACCAATGGAATCTGTTGCATTGAACAGCTTTTTCATATGTATAACATCATTAAAATTCCCTTACCTGTGTATGTATCTCTATCTCTGTCCAGTGTTGTAAATTGTTTTCCATTGTGCCATATCATGGAGTCCCCTGCATTTCCCTGGTAAGTTCCCAGACGCAGCCTATAGAATTCACTTTCAGGCTCCAGGCGAAAACTGCTGTATTCTGCATAGACTTTCTTATTACTCCAGTCTTCTAGTTCAATCAATAGCCTATAATTGTCCTGATTGGTAAGCATGTAAATATTTTCTAGTCCCAGCCAGTACTCTCCATCAACATTTCCAAATCCTTTCTGTACAAAGAAAACCAGAATATGAGGTTAAATCTACTAGTTTTTCTGAATCTATTGAATGAAGACATTTATCAGTAGTAGTAGTAGTATATCCCAGTAGAATATGTGTATCTAAACTAAAAACTGTTAAGCTTTTAAACTTCTGCACCACCCTTTTAATTAGTTCCTTTGGGCCAATTTCTGTCACCTTTATTCAATCTAAGTAGTACTACACTCCATGAGTTGTCTCACTGATATCAGTGGGACTACTGGCAGTGTAATGTATTACTCAGCATGAGTGAAGATGTCAGAATCTGATCCTTTGCACCTTTGATTTCCACAATGTGCTTTTTGAATACTGGAACAATATTTTCTGTGGCACAACAAATGTTGTCCATTAAGACCATATGACTAACCCATTGCATGAAGTACTTTGAGGCACAAAAGATAATTATAGATGAGTAAGCCAATTCTCAAGATGCATAACTTTTTTGTATCTTTTACAAGGTAGACTGATTACATATATAATGAAATACCAATCCATCTGTGTACTCTAGATTTCAGTTCTAGTAAATTCAGTAAGGCTATTGGTCTTGAATCACAGACTGCTGGTATGATACCTTTTTGCTAATATTTGCAAGGCATTGTTTCCTTTCCCTAAGAAAATATCCATTTTACTATCAATGTCTAAAGTGTTTGGAGTTGTAAATAAAATACTCATTGTTTTTCTTTTAATTATGTGGTGTTTAGTAGGATTACAAATTCTTTTTCTCCATAAAACACTCTAAGTGAGAGCTAGTTTGTGGGCCAGTTTTCCCAAAAAAGTTAAGCAATTGAAAAACCAATTGTGTACACCCAATACAAAACTTTCACTTGATACTGAAATATTCAGTTACACTCTTTGAGGCTATTGAAGGTAAATATTTTATTCAGGTTGTGTGTAAAAAGTCTGGTTTTGTGCTTTATTATTTTAATCTCCTTTTTCCTTTTATAAAAGAGGGGATAAAGTAAAAGTTTGTTATTTTGTCATCAAGGATACAGCTTTAACAGTCAGATTCCAAGAAATTCAAAAGTTAAACTTCTTATAGTAGCCTTAATTCACTTCCTTTGCACATTTAAAAGGTAAAATGTATAACATATGACCAGCCATATATGATAATGCCAGTTCACAGGCAAGTCTGTACATTAGTCATTGTGGCTTAACTCCTTCTTAGCTTTTACTTTTCTTGTTTTTTTCACCTCTTCAGTTTTTGCTCATTCTTAGTTCTTTGGTAACTATTTTACTTCTGATTCTTTTTCAAGTGTTAATCTTGTAGCAAAATTAACTGCAGTGGAGAAGAAATGCATTGAAAAATAGCATCTTGTGAATACTGATAGCAGATTCTAGTGGTTACTGTCCCCACCAAAATGAAGCTGTTACTTTTCTAAATTCTAAAACTTACCTTATAACTGTCCCAATTCCTGAAGAAATTGACAGATCCATCTGTCCTTTTCTGAATAACTGCCCAGCCTCCAGGGTCCAGGCTGTTCTCACACCATAACTGTACTGGTTCATTGCTGTTTTCTGGTTTGATCATATAAATCCCACTGTTGGAATGCCCAGCTTCTTTGGCTTGTTGACAGTCTTTGAAAGGACCTGTTTGAAAAGAACTGCCTTAAGCTTAAGCTTATTTTTTAAAAATGTGCATGCGGGACACAAGTTACATATAACATGTAGTTAATAGTGTATGTACAAGAAGACTTTGTATTGCAATGCAAGACTTTAACTTAGAGGTGGTAAATATCTGAGATCCCATTTTATTCTTGCTGTTTCCTGCTAGAAAGTACGTACTTTCTAATTTTAACTGCAAATTTAAAACTTCCATTGTAAACATTGCAAAACATCCTTTCCAGTTTATTTGGTTAATTTTATACATTTTGCCTATTTTCCCCCACCAACCTTACAAATAGATAACTATTTTGCTAAACAGGTAGTGCATTTTTTGACTCTCTACACCTGTTATTTTGGTAACTTTTTTCTTTATTGTGTATCACAAATTACACCCTGATATTAGATGAGCAAATAATGCAACTCGCATTTCATAACTACTTTAGCTTGTATAGCCTTACCAAACGTCAGATACTGGCTTACTTCTTCCCTATAATGTATACATTTGAAGTGGTCATAAAGTAAAAGGTAAACTAGAATGCAGCAGAACTAGAATTTAATTAGAAAACTTTTATCAAATTCTGCAAACCCTCTGACAGGAACCTTTATAAATCTAATGATTTTTATACTTCCATTTCTTGACAGTTACAATATGTGTGCATGGCTGTTAGCCAGGATAGCATGCAAGCAGTGGACCAGATATTTTTGAGCAGATAATAGTGTTCATTTGTTGAGTTTCAAATCTACAGTTACGTAGAAATGCAGCTGTTGACTGTAGCTCTTCAAAGTTCTCTTTTAGGCTCTGAGTACTATATTTACAAAACATACTCTCCACTTCTGAAAGATGATGTCTGAGCGTTCAGTAGGAAACACTGTCAGCTTACATTTTGGAAAGCCTTCCTATGTTGGTGTGTCCCTCTTAAAAGATTACAAATCCAGCTATAATTTCTACCTCCACTAATCCCTTCCCCCACAAAAAAAAATTAATGCTGTTACAACATCACTATTTATATTGATTTTTGGACTGGTTTTAGACCATCTTCTAGTGAGCTTTTTTCATAATGAAGAACTGGATATGTTCTGATATGTTCTAGCTCATGATGAATCCCTTAAATGCAACTGATTTGAAAAATCAGTATACTTAATAAGTCCAAATAAAAGTTAACATTCTGTTTAAAGTGTTTGATTACTATTTTGTTGTGTTTATAGTATAATATAAACATATTAATAAATTGATCAGTTGTCTCCATATAAGCTCATGCTACATCTAGAGTAACCATTATTGGGTTACTATTCTGATACTGATTTGAAACAATAAACCTAACCTGCCCAATTAACAATTTAAGCAAATAGTAATATAGTGCTTATCTTTTAAAAAAAATACTTTAAGAGGTGGGATTTTTTTTTCCAGTGCTCTTCAATTACTAAGATGATGGACTAGATACAACAATCTTAATTTGATCTCTGCTCTATTTTGGAACAAAAAGATGGATGTGCAATTTCTGACCTTTGGTAACGCACCTGCTAAATTCAGGGCGAATATTCCATATGTGAGGGCAGTCTGGAAGGAAACACACTGAAGTTTGTTGTGGTATCCCTTTAATGTTCTTGCTTAGTGAAAACCATTTTCACCCTTAACTTCATCTTAATGGAGGTTCTTTATCTGTTTCTTTAAAGACTTGTGAGTAGTAGTCTGATATTAGCTGTGGAAACCTGTAATCAACTAGGATATCTATAGAACTAGTCCATAGCTGTTAAAAGTTGATATCGAGCTTGAATCACCATGCAGCTTGAAGTTCTGGACAAATGGAACCATGACTTATTTATTACAGGTCTCTCAGAGATTTCATTCTTTATTAGCAAGTCATTGGGGCCTGTAATTCTCCAGTCATGCATTTTAGGAGTCCTGGTTATTAAAAGCTTATCCAGTTATACTTGTTACTATCTTAAATCATGACTTAAGGGTTTAGAGGAGTTGAAAAGAATAATAACCTGGTAACAGCTCAGAGTGCTTAGAAACACCACTGGAACATAGGTGGCAATCCTGACTGAGCCCTTTGGCAAATGTTGATGGCACTAACAACTACAAGAAGTGCTGCGGGAATTGATTCATGATTTTTATAAATTGTGTTGGTGTACTATCAATGTTTGCAACTGACTAGACCTTTTGTCCAAGCTAGTGGTGCATATAGTCACCTGGTCGTAGCACAGTAAAGGACTTGTGTCATTAAAAAGCCCCATTGGTATATCAGCAGCACTTCTAGCTGCTGATAATCCATATTTTTACTAGTCAGAAACACTGCCAGTGTACTGGCAACATTAAGAAGTTTGCAAGGCACATGGCAACAATCTGTCTAGCTAAAGACACTTTAAAGTTAAGGAATATATACTTTAAAATTTGAAGACCCATGTTTATAAAACTGGGTCTATCAGAATTCTCAGCGACCTAGGTAACTAAACTAGATTTTGAAGTGTAAAGACTGGATTGGTTTTTGAACAAAAAATGGTGCTTACGTATCAGAGAAGTGTTAATTCCAATATCTGAAAGATGGCTTGTTTAGGATTTTCTTGAAACTTCCTCAAATTCTCCCTTTCCAGTTTTATTACTCATGAGAAATTTAAAAATGAGTTTTGGAAAGCTGGATGGGTGAAAAATAGGGTTAATAACAGAAACTGTAATAGAAACAAAATTATTGCTACTTCCTTCCCAACATATCCAAAGCTGTCCCTACCTTTAAGTCATTACTTCCAGCCTTTGGCCATGCCTTGATAATCTCCCATTTTGAGTACTGTAGCTTTCTCTGCGTACCTTCTCAACACCCACTTCATCCCATCCAGTGTATTCAAAATGCTGCTGCCAAAATCATTTCCCTTGCTTGTTGCTTTGACCATATCTGCCACCTTTGAATCATTTTGTTTGCTCTGTATTACCTTCCCTTGCCTGTTCTAATTTTCTCCATTCTTTTGTATTTTGTCTGAAAGTGTCCAGTTGGAGTAAAAGTTCCCTGGGGCATGGGGAGCTTTCTGTAAACGGCCTAGCACAATTTGATGCTGTGTTAAAAAAACAGTACTTGTGGCACCTCAGAGACTAACCAATTTATTTGAGCATAAGCTTTCGTGAACTACAGCTCACTTCTGTAGCTCACGAAAGCTTATGCTCAAATAAATTGTTTAGTCTCTGAGGTGCCACAAATACTCCTTTTCTTTTTGCGAATACAGACTGACACGGCAGTTACTCTAAAAAAACAGTGTGGCTCCATAATAAATGTTCTAAAACAACTTATTGATTTATAAAAGATGTGAAAACATGAAAAATAGCAAAGCTTTATAATGTAGATTGAAATATTGAGAACAGTTGCTGAAATACTACGTTCTGTGCAGAGGAAAGGAATCTAGGACTCTTATTTCCAGGACCATTAGAGACCAAAGCAAACGGTAGAGCTATTTGACTTGCTGCTAAGCAATGGAAGGTCACAGTAGTCTGTTTACATAGTAGCTTTTGACCATTGCTAAAATTCAGTTGGCGTTAGTCTCACAGGATGCAATTTGTCTAAATTTTGATCCTTAGAATTGTAGACACTGCTGATGTAAAATGTTGAAGTGGTAGAAGAGGTTTCAAAGTTATGTTCTAGAATGAAGGAGTGAATAAATCCAACAAATCCTTTAGCTTTGATTAACTATCTTACATCACTTTCTTGGGACAAATAAATCCTTTGATATATGATGACATAGGAACTATGATCCTTTTTTTGTAGTTGTTCACTGAAAATAAGGTGCCACAAGTACCCCTTTTCTTTTTACTGGAAATACTGAGATTTGTGACTTGATAAAATAGTTTGCACTGTGTTGAAGTAAAGGGGTGTTGTTTTTATGCTAATGAAAGGAATAACATATCAAATGTACAGTGTCCCTATTAGGACTTCATCTGTATGGTCATCCTTGAAGTCTAGTTGTGATAACAGTAGTGCCTGAACATAAATTATATCTTCCTTCTTCGACAGATTTTTCTCTCTCCACCAAATTCTGTCCAGTTACGAAGTTAGATGCTGGTGTGAGTGAGAACATGGTATGGCCCCTTGTGTCTCATAGTCATAGCTGTTTACTGAAAAACCAAGTTTTAATACTACTTACTGTCATTATTATTGAAGACCCGAATACAGAAATTAGAGTGGAATTCTTTTCTGGTTTCCACATCAACAAAATTAACTAAGTTCTAATTACCTATTCTTATTATCGTTGATGTCATAGCCAGAAAGAAAGGTTTACTATTTCCTCTTGAAAGCCAAAGACATAATTTCTTTAACAGCTTTTGGTTTTTAAGAATGAAATATTAACATGAACAGAGACCATAACTTTGGAATTTTGTTAAATACGTGAGAACAAAGGAGAGCAGAAATATTTCACAAAACTACACCTAATCTTTTAGCACTTAACAACATATGCATTTAAGATCTTGAGAGGAGCATAGGGCCCATGTCGTCTTTGTTTGCTTGGGTGCTGCTGGTAATTTTCACTTTTTGAGATCATGTCCTGAATTTTTACTATTACAATACCAAAAATTGCATCCTAAGTATATAATGATTTAGCAAATCTGATGGTTGATCTCTAGGGCATTACACTTTGACATGTGTTAGGTGGTGAAAAAGGAAAACGATGATGGGATATTACTGTTTTCTTAGGATGGAATATAACTTAAAAAAAACAAAACTGATGCCTGATTTGAGTAGAAAAAATGCGGATAACCTAATGTAGATTGTCCAGAGACTTTGTTATTCCTGAGCAACTGCAATTTGTACTTGGATGTCTTTCATAAGTATTTTGGAGACATTAAAGGAGAATCGAAAAATGAAAGAAATAAAAACTAAATAGCTAAGAAACATGATTATAGAACAAAGATGTGTGTGAGGCCGTTAATGTTCACTTATCTTATATGAAACACTGAAGTACAGATGAAAATTATACTTTCCTTCTTATTATTTTAAGAGGTATTATCGCTTGTGTGAATAGTGACAACTATAGTTAAATGTGCCTACACATTTCCATACTAAATACATTTATCATTTGCTCATAACTTTCTCAATTTTTCACCTTTTCGGCTGTTATTTTCCAAGTCTGGTCTCTAACTGAAGCTGAGCTTTTTGGTTAGTTGGTTGTTTTTTGTTTTGGGGGTATGTGGAGTTTGAGCAAAAATGATTCAACCATTTCTGAGTAGCAGAACAGTAGGGGGAAACATTTCATACCCTTTTAAAAAAAGTAAACAACTGGAAATAAGGCATACATTTTTAACAGTGAGAGTAATTAATCACTGGAACAATTTACCAAGGGTCATAATGGATTTTCCATCGCTCACAATTTTTAAATCAAGAGTGGATGTTTGTCTAAAAGATATGCTCTAGGAATTATTTTGGGGGAATTCTATGGCCTGTGCTGTACAGGAGGTCAGGCTAGATGATCACAATGGTCCCTTCTGGCCTTAGAATCTGTGTGTGTTGAGACTTTTATTAAAGCAGCACTGACTCCAAAACTTGGGAATAGACTGTTGAAATTGGGCAGAGAGACTGTTCTTAAGGAGGAAAGATGCTTTTGACATTCCACTGAAAATTGGTTTTGATTGGTTATGAGCAGTTGAAGATTGTAGTTCACACACGTGTGGTAGGTTTTAATTACTTTCAACCAACAATAACTTTAATTTCTACAGAGAAAATATTTTTTAAACTAAGTACTTAAAATAAGGAAATAAGAGAACTTAAGTACTTAAAATAAGTAGTTCGTTTTGCACAGGCATAAGGGTCCTCGTACACAGACGAAGTTACGAACTAGGACCAAATGTATTAATAATTTGTTTTGATAAAGTAGTTGCAAATATAAATATTCAGTTTAATTGCCATGCAGAACAGCTGTATTTTTTTATTTTAAATTAATTGTCCTGCATGCAGCTTTCCTCCTACCGTTAGTAAGATACTTAAAATTAACTGTTGCATGATTTCCTTACTTGCTGTGCAGTCCAGCTTGTGCACTGAGGCTCAGATTCAGAAAGTTACTTAAGCATGTTCCCATCTTAAGAATGAAAGTGGCTGCACTGAAGTTTAAAATTAAACATTAAGTATATTGCTTAATTGGCACCTGAGTGCCTGACCTGCTCCCATTGACTTCGAAGGATTCTTGAATGAAGCTTAAATTGCTTCTTATTTTTGTGTTAGGAATTGAGTATACAACTGAGGTTTATTTAATTAGTTTATCTGAATTCATAATTTTCTGTTTACATATGCATCTTGCATTTGTATAGAAAACACTTTTTTCCCCTTTAGGAACTTGTCTTCCGTGGGGTTGATTTCTCTAATATTTTTACCTCAGTGTAAAAAGTAGTTTTCCAAGTGTGCTATGTATTTTCCTTCCAACCCACAATTAAAGATACTAATACCTGTTTTATGTAAACTATTTCCTGCAGTTGTAGCTTGACTGTGACTCATTAGTACTTGAGAAGAACAGTTGATTCAAATATAATGAGAGAAAAATATGCTATAACATATCCAGAAGACAGTTTTACCTTTCATTATACAATCTTTTCTTCATTTTAACAACATTTATCTGATGAGGACAACCTTATTGGGTTTTGTTAGTCTTATTTGGCAGTCTCCATTTGTAAATTTTCTGCATAATCTTCTATACTAACATCCCCCTCTTGTTGTTTTTCACTTTTCCTATTATTTTACAGCCCTTTTCTCTTCTGCACTGCTTTATCACACGTTGGTACCTTAATTACAGGAAACAGAGAGAGAACTAGGAATAGCTTTGTAATTTATTGTATACTGGTTTTTATTTTAACTTTTAATTATCTTCATTTTACCAGCTTTGGAACTACTTAATCCTTTTTCTCCCACCTCTGTACAGGATGCACATTCTTAAAATTCACAGACCTCAGTATTTAAAGAAAACACACAGCAAATGAGCCCATTAATGTTAGAATAAATTGACTGAGATTTCTTTAACTTAGTTTCCAGAAATGTGTAGAGGAAAGAGGAGACTTTTTGATAAACGTTTTACAGAAAACATTTGTTCGTGCTGTTGCTTTTCCTCATATGTACACACCTATCTGTTTATAATTATAAAACTGAGAGAATGAGTATCTGGGGAAACAATAAATCCCCATGTAGTTTTGTTTAAAAGTTGGTTTTGGTTTTTTTAAGAGACTTCTGCTGTTGCTGTCTGACTAGCCATTAACATAGCTTTTTTTGTATTAGCTCTGTTTCCTGTCTGCCACTTACAGGTGATCTAAATTCTCATGACATCTGGCATTTCATTTGTACTGTGTGGGCTAACTTTTCCCCAAATCCCAAGCTATATAGTCCCTCTTTTTATCAACAGCAGGTTGGTTGTAGTGTATGTTGAATAGCCACAATAAATGTGTGTTTTCACCCTCAGGAACACAGTTGAATATCCAGCTGAGTCTAAAACCCAGTTCAGAGCATTTTTGCTATATAAGCTCATAAAAGGCAAGAAAAAAGATGGTTACTTGGAAAGCATGGATTAAAAAAAAAGATAATCCAAACTTTCAGGATTGAGCAGAATAAATTATGACAGTTTGTGATGCAGTTGGAAATAATTCTATGGAGTTTTTTTTAATAACCAGGATGGATAAAAATCAATGATTTTTTTATTTAAATTGGATTTTTAAGGACCAAGCCTATCTAAAGATAGATACATTATAGCTCAAAGGTATCTCATCATAGAATAGGGGTTATAAATTCTAATTCTATAGTATGAGACAATATGTTCATGTAATGTTTAAGAAAAGTTTTGTAAATGAGTTCCAATCGTTCATGGATTAGGAACCCAATCTTATGGGGTTCCACAGGCTTCTGTATAGATTATTTAGGTTAATCTTTCTATATACCCAATGGGACTCAGTGCTCAGTCTAGAAGATACCATCGGGGCACTTAGTTTTGCAGTTCTCAAACTGTGGATTTGTCTCTCCAGAGGTAACTTGCTTGTTAACAGCAAAAATCTTTTAAAATAAATAATATATAGAGGTGAGAACTAAGACCTCAACCCTATTGTCCCTCTGCAAATTTGAGTACACAGAGTCAATCCCTTACCTATCTCTAAAAGAGCAAAGTTTAAAAAAGTTCAATGAATAGAAGATTATTGGGAGCAGAATAGATCTGGACAAGGAGAAGAAGTCTGGAGATAAATGTGAGAAGCAAGGGACATATGCTTGTTTTGTTAAAATATTATATGTTTGCTGTTGAAGAAGAAAATCCAGAATACTTAAAGTTGTTGTTTTAGTTAAATAAAACAATTTAACTGTCTGTCTGGTGATGTTCTCCTCCTAATACAGCATGGCAAGAAAATCCTCCAAATATTAATGATTAACCTGTTGAATTGGAGATCGTTCACCTCCCAATGACTTCATAAATATCTGCTTCAATTACCTTTGGTAAATGAAATAACCAAACAGTCATTCATTTTCTTATATAGCTGTAAAACTAATCTGAAAAGTTTTCAGAATAAATCACTGTTTAAAAATGTATAGTGTGTACCTTCTAAAAATGAAACCTACATCTATCTCTTGATTTGTGAAGAATATGTATTAAGGTTATAACAACCGACAAGAAGGCACTTTTATGTAGAAAACCATGATTAAATCGAATCTTCCTCACTAGTGATTTAAATCATGATTTAATTTGATTTAAATCAAATCTACCCTATTAATAAGACCTTTAGGAATCATGATGGAGTTCCAGTAACCCCCAGATGAAATGCATTTTTCTTTCATTGTCACTGGTTTTGTTTTTAATACTTTGTGAATCTATATAATTGGGTGAAGTAGGACAGTGAACTGAAAACATTTGGTGAATCTCCTCAATGTGTGTTCATGATATTTTCATAAAGAAAACAAATGCAATATTATCTTTCCCTTGCTGGAAAAAATGTTGTTTTTCATTTTAAATATCTATAGTGGGGATTTTTAAAAGAGTCTAAATGAATTAGGCACCTAACTTCAATTTTTGTTGGAGTTGGTTGTCTTACTATCCTAGGCTCCTTTGAGATTCTCAGCCTAAAGAATAAAAAGTTGTTTAGAGGATCATTGTGACATCAGATTGTCCTGTTATCATAAAGTCAAAATCTGCCGAGTGTTAAGAATTCATTAAGGCTGGAAACACAACAGTGCGATAATGCATAATGAGTGTAAGTAGAACTGGTGAGTACAGCAAACATTGCTAGCTGCATTTACTACCGGGAAGTTTATCTCTTTTCTTTGCTGTTCACAAAATTCTAATGTAACTTGTGGGACAATAAAGTTCATAGAAAAAGTAATAAGTAAATATCAGACAGTGTTTGCAGAAATCAAATTTTGTTTCCAAGTTATGCTCATCCAGTCTGGAAGTAAAAGTAGTTCTCTACAACCTGTAATCAGTGAGACTTACCTACACAGCTTGAATTTCAAATATTAAATACTTGCAGCAAAGTTCTCGTGTTATCTACAGGTCAAGAATTAGTCATAGAAATTATTTGACAAATAAATTTGAGAAAATCTACAGCTGCTGTCAACCTATTTATCATCAGAAGAGGCTGAATTTGCTGAATAAATTATTCATTTTGAATTATTCATTCCACTCTAGTTGTAAGTAAGCATTGTAAGTGGGTTGCCTATTTGTTTACATGACATTCTCTTTATTTTGGACATAATGTTAATCAACTCACCTTCATTGATTAAAGTTAGTGGTGGTATCCTGAAAGGACTTTTTGTAGGAGAAGTAGCTGGATCAGGTGGTGGCCTTATGTCTCTGTCTCTAGGATAACTTGGGTCCCTCTGTATCTCATTACCTCCCAAAAGGCTGGGAGTATAGTGCTGGCTGTTAGGAATGTGCTGTGGCACCACCTGAACAAGAGGAGGAGATCTGTCGGTGTCCTGTCGTGACAGTATCTGCAAGCACTGCTCTTCCAATAAAGAGATAATCACAGACTGATTATTTACAAGATCTGTTAGTGCTGCATATTTTATTTCAAGCTCCCTGTATCGTGTTGTCATTTTCAACATTTCTGTTGTAACATTGAGGATTTTATTTTCCAGTTGGGAAAGCTCAAGTGAATTATCGCGCTTTCGGATTATCTCATGCAAGAGCTGCATGTAGAGCTGAGTGACTCGGGAGTTCATGTTGCGACTTTCTTTTCTCAGCAGTTTTACCTCATTCACAATATTTCCATCCACATCCACCACAAGCTGCAAGATATCAATCTCGCGTTTCTGCTTGGACAATACTTCCTTCAGATTCTCTATGTCCATCCTTGTGATTTCATCTTTTCTGTTATCTGCTCCTAGTCCTTTGGTGTTTACACAAATTGGCCCTGTAATTTTTTGTTCAGGAACCAAGAAAGTATAACCACATTTTTTTCCTTCCTCTCCACCATCTGTTGAACGAGGGTGCCTCTTCGATAATTTACTGAGTTTAGACTTTTCTGTGCAGTGTCCTGTAGACAGTAGTAGGAATAATAGCACACCCAAAGTCCATGTAGAGATCTTCATTTTGAGATGAATGTGATGGTTTTCAGAAGACTAATCATTGGATAAATAGAAAGCAAGTTAATAATTAATCAGAATCTAGTTTTAAGGCCTTACTTTATATCAAGCAACATATCATGGAAGAGCACTAATTTTTACTTATGACACAAATGCAATTGAGACTTATCTGCCGTAGATGCTGGCCAAACTGAGATTTTCTTACCATATTAAATTTAATTTTCACAAAATTATTAATTTATTTAGAATTACACTGCATTGAACAACTTGCCTCCTTTCTTTGGTGAAGCATCAAGACCTGAAAGATTTCAAGCAGTAGACATATTTTAGCTTTAATTTGAATGAATACATTTTCAGAAAACAAGCTCCAATGTATTCAGATAACACAGTAGTTCTTTGGTCATAAGCCTGGCTACATACGTTTATAAATATTAAAATAAAAAGGGAAATATTGTAAAATACTTTTGTAGCCAAAAAAATAAACAAACCCTGATTTGGGCTTTCCAGAAAATCTGAGGTTGAAACGATTTTTGTAATTTGCATAATATTAGCCTTAGTTCTACATATTTTTATAGTTATGTCTACAGCTAGATTTACAACTAGTGGCTTTGGAGATCTCCCTAACATGGTTGTCATAATTTTACTTTTAAAAAAATGTATTCAAGTAAATTTGGTTTGTAAGAAAAGGTAATGATAGGGTTAGCTGTGAGATCATATGCCCTGACCTGATGAAAATGTGATTATCTTTTTTCATCTATGAATGAAAACAAGTAAGTGATGATCTTTGTTTTCGTGAAACTAAATATTTGGAATTTAGTGTCTGGGATCATTTGATGTTTAATATTGACCACTGTACACTAGGGAATGTTGAGTGCCTGCCAGCAGGGTCTACATGGGCCAGTTAGTGTGCAACATGTTGGTTCACTTAAGAATTCACACCCCTCTCGTGCACATTACTGCACCTTGTGGACAAGACCATCATTTTAATGACAAATCTGCTGAAACAGTTCATTAGCAAAGTATGTTTGCCTTTTGGGACTTTTTCTCCTAAATTTTGATTTCTACTCTGAGGTATAGTAAAACAAACACACCGCAAAACTACAAATCGTGGTTGTATGAAGTGTGATAAAAGGGGGGGAACCACTTCCCACAAATTGTTCTGTACTTCAAATTATATTTTCTTCAGTAGGTAAATATTTACCTTTCACAAACACACAAGCTGGTGAATGGACTGCATTCTGGTAGAAGTGAAGAAGCAATACGAGTATTTGTTAAAGTTATGCATGCTTTTAGTGTCCTAAAGAGTATTAAGGGATTTTTATTACCAATCATTTTTTTAAAAGTCTTTAATAAGCTGTCCTTTTCCCTGACATCTTTATGATAAGTTTGCCATTATTCCAGATAACTTGTAAACAAGCAACCCCCAATCTGTAAAAATGTCAAACATGCTTTATCAGCTATAACTACGTTACACTCTTTTAAACATATGACACATTACAATAATGTGTTTGCTTAAATTGTTATGGAGGGAATTAAGAAAGCATTGAAAAATCTGAGGACTATTGATTACATTTTCCTATTTCTTTTTGTTTTGGTATTTGAGGTTATAAAATAGTGAGTGGTATTCAGACCCAGAATAAATTAACTATTTTTTATCATTATCTTTGGCTAATTGACTTGTGGAAAGGTGGTGGCTTTGGAGTTGATTCACTTTTGTCAGGGAGATATTTCTCTCTCTCTCTCTCTCTCTCTCTCTCTGTGTGTGTGTTCCCTCTTGTCTCAGCTATGGGTAGAGCTGACATTAATCTTTCTCCTCCCCCTCAGCCTAATATTAGCAGATTGTACACGAAATTGCACAATGGTCTCTGTTTGGCTTATCAAGAGCAACAGACTAAAACAATAGAAGTTCATTGGTTTCATGCTGCACTTGCCACTTTTGCACAAATGCTTTGTGCAAAAGTATCAGCCCAGACACAATTCTCCCCTTCAGGAGGGAAATTGGTGAGACCCTGTGGTACAAGGGTGGGTAACTCTTGATACACTGTATACCCCACTCATCCCCATTTTCACTGGGCAATCCCTAAATGGAAACAGCTGTTCCACACCCACAACAGGACTGGCAAAGTCCAGAGAGAGAGAAAGAGAGGCAGAGACTCCTCACCTATTTAAAAAAAAAAAAAAAAAAGGCCTTTAACCTAAAGGAAGGTGCACTGGGCTTGGATTCAGGTGGCCACAAGTTCTTGTCTTACCTATGTAACTCACTGGTATTAGGATGGCAAAATGTACAAAATTCTTGATATTCCTGTTTTAGTAGGGAAGGGGAAAGACAGACAAGTATAACTTGCTCCACTCCACCTGATTTTACAGATTCGGGTGGTAAATGAGATGTTGCACAAAATCACTTCTGGTAATTGTGGAAAGAGAAACCAGATCTCTAAGCTGACAGACCAAAATATCATTCACTTAAACATACTTAATTTCAAATTAAAAATGCCAAATCTTTGGTTGTCCTGTTCGTAACCACTACTCTAGTCATTAGACCACATGTTCCACCCACAGCCTGGAATTAAACCCAGGAATCTTGATTCCCAACGTTCTGTTGCTGTCTAGCAAATAGTTGTGTAAACTACTGGTAAATTGTCAGGTTCCCCTCTGTGATCTGGTCCATATACAGGATGTCTATTTCTGCTGTCAGTTACTCTTTTGGCTTAAGTTGTAGAGATCTGTGCTCTGTATCTGAAGGTCTGGTTTCAAAAACTGTTGATGACTTATGCAGGAAAATATAATATGTGGTCATATAATTAAAAGGTCACAATATATTTGAACAAGGTGTCAGAATTCAGGTTGCCATTAGTCATCTTAATTCTGGTATTTTCTAATTTGTGAGTAATTGATTTTGCAAATTTCACATTTTTATATTGATTTAACAATCAGGACCTTCAGTGTTTAACCAGAATGTTGAATATTTACACGGGTCTTCTGTTTTAACCAGCAAGAAAGTATTATGGCATATATTTCTAGTCTCTTTTTTTTTTAATTGGATTACTAGACTGCCGGAGCTAAATGTTGTGTTTCAAACAAATTGCCACTGTTAAAAGACAATTGTAATTAACATTTAATTGAAATAAAGAAAATGTTTATATTCCTGTATATTTCACAATTTGTACACAGTAACAAATGATTTTCAATAACAAAACATTTAGAGGGAAAATATACCATTTTAAATACTTTTTCCAGAAGCAGAACTTGTGTGGATGTTTTGTTAAATAATAAATAACTGCTAAAGGTACACTGTCTGTGAAGTCAGTAGACAACAGCAACGATTTTTGTCATGCTGTATTTCAGGACAAGTTATGGGATAGTCCTAGTGGAAAGGACAGAAAGTCAAAGATAGGCGTTATAATGCTACACTAAATCACTCATCTGTGTAGTCTAATCTATATGAAGGTAATCCCCTCCCCCACATGTGTAATGTATTTAGCCAATTGTGCAATGCTTAGTGTTGGAAGTTCGAGGTAAACTTTCAGGTGAATCATGGTAAAAATATGAGAGGACAGTCATTTTCTATAATATACTGTACTTCTCAACAGACCCTGGACCAATTGAACTAATCAAACTAAATTTGTAATCCCAACCTGGCTCTCCTAACTCCCTTTTAAAATGATTTTTTTTAACTGGGGTGAAGAAGACCTTAAAAATATGAACTTGATAAAAAACAATGTTCTGGTCCTTTGTTTTCACATAGACATTTCAAAAATAGTCTTGTAAATATTTTTTAAAATATGAATATTATGGAACACACGATAACTGTCACAAAGACACAACCTAAGTAACCGTTTTAAAATTATTGAAAAAATGGAAATAAAATTGGTATGCTGTAGTTTTTTCTCTGAAATACAAGTAATATAATTTCTTAAAAGCAAATGTACTGTAATAGAGCACCTAGTCCATTCAAATATTCTGCTGTAGTCCACTTTCGTACATTCTTTTAATGAACTAATTACATATATAGGTCTCTATCCTGTAAACACATATACATTAATCATCATATGAGTAAAGTTACAAACATACCTAAGTGTTTTTAGAATTGGGGCCATAGACATTCTGTCTGACCATAAGAGGAATTAAATGGTCTAAAATAGAATAACCAAAACAACAGTTGCTCAAACTGTGTCTTAGAATTCCAAAATAAATATTTCAACCTTCAGCTGATCTGAAACTAAGATGTGCCTATAGACATTGCAAAGATGAGTTCCTTCTGAGACACAGACTTCGTTGTTAACTTGTGTGCTGTCACAGAAGCTTCCAACTGTGAAAACTTTGGCTCCCCTATGTGTGTGGTATTCAGCAGTTGAACACAGATGTTGATGACCGACACAGCTGGGGTTCCTAATAAGGTTGTAATAAAGAGTTGTTCTTCATGTGGCTCTGCATATTCACTCACCAAATGGTAGAACCTTTTCCAAGCAGTGCCCATTAGAGTGCATGTGCGCCCCCTCCTTACCGCTCCCCTCAGCCTTTCTGAACATTCTGAGGATGGGGCTATATCGGAGGACACTGTACCCTCTATCTTCTCAGTTCTTTCCAACTTCTGCACCAGACAGAAGTGAACTGATTAATCTGTTTGGATCTGGGAATTTTATTTATTGATAGTGCTTTTGGTAGTTTTTAGTTGTTGTTAATGTGTAGTTTAGTTTAAGTATAATGATAAGTGTAAGCAGTTTAGTACAGTTGGTAGGCTTTCTTCTGTCTAATGGTGGAACCAAACAAGAAACCAGGGGTTTAAGAGATGTGCTTCATACACAGCTGTCTTCCTGGTGTAGGATGACCACTTTAGGTGCCTGACGTGTCTGGGCGAAGGCCTTTCTTCTGGGTGTTCATTTGCAGGACTTTCACATCCAGAGATGCACAGTGAACTGCAGGTGCTTCTACTTAAGCAAGTTCTAGCTGCTAAACCTTGTTTTGAATGATTGTTCAATCCAAAGTCCTGAGGCCAGTTTCTGCTTCTGTGGCTTCCTCTAGCAAGACTAAGCTTC